AGCCTGCCACAGTAGAGAAGAGAACAATCTTTGTGCCCAGATTTCTTTGCTCTGCAGGGTAAGTTTTACAAAGCTGACAACCAGTAGCAACATGTAGTGGCCTCAGGCATCATGCCTGCCCATCAAAGACTTGGATTTTAGCCCTGGAGAAATTACAGCTTCTCACTTCTCTGGAACCCATACTGGACAAGAAGAAAGCAAGAGAGTAATGAATGACCTAACTAAAAATTATTGTAATATATGGATTGCATACTATAAGCCATAAACTTAGGATTGCAGGGAGAACTGGGAGGAGATGTGGAGAAAGAAAACATCATGTATTGACAGGAACACCATAGCCACAGAAGACAAAAGACAACCAGCTGGGGCTGCTACAACAGCAAAGTCATCTACTGGAGTGGTAGGGGCTAGCACACTGAATGGAAAGTATGGGTCCAGCAGATGCTTCCTGGAAGCTCAGCAGTTCAGGGTGGAAAAGACAGTGAGGAAAGGGCAGCTAAGGAAATCATTAGTTGAAGAGCCAGCCAGCAGGAATGTGGAGAAGAGAAAGGTAAATCCAAGGAAGCTACACAGAAGTGAATAAAAAAAGGTATTTGGTCCTCTGGAGCACTGGTGGCTTACAGCTTCATTGCTGCACCTCCTTCTGCAGGACTTGAAGCCACCCTGGCCACCTCTCTGCTGGGTGCAAGCAGGCACGGCCCAGCTCTCGCCTGCTGTCCCTAGGTGTCCATACACTGATCATACAGGGGATCCCCCAGCAACAAAACAGCTCGCCTGCTGCCAGCTGCCAAAGCCACTTTGCCACCCATGCAGTCTGAGGATGGCTGTGGCTTCAAGGCCAACAGAGGGGGTGAGCTGACCTGATGCATAGAAACACTCACCACCACCACTCACTTCGCATCTGCATAGGCACACTTGCCCTGCAGGATTTCTGCAGCATCCATTTTAATCCAATGTTCGACAGCTAAAGTAAACTGCCAAACTGAAGGCCCAGAATTATGGTCAGAGACTATTTTCTGAAGCCCCACAAGAGACTCAAACTGTTTCAGCTTCCTCTCCCAAACAACAGCCTTGAGCTGTTCTCGCCTGGCTGCCGGAAGCCTGTGACGTGAAATAAAAGCCAGGAAATATGACTTTCTGAATAAACATTTATTTGGTAAGAAATACTTCTGATTTTTTGGCAGAGAAATGGCAGAAACCTGAAGCCCTATGTATAGCATGCCTGCAGAGAGAAATTTCTATTTAAAGGGAAGCTGCAGCTGTCTGTAGCTCTTAATGAAGAATAATGCCTAGGAATAAATTACTGCTGTTTCTGAGAGACATTTCTCAAATTAAAGCGATTCTTCCCTTTTTCCCTCTCACTATAAATACCAAGTGGCATGCACTGGGCTGTTGTTTGGAAGAACGGACACATGCAGCTCTGCTGTTTTCTCAGCAGCCTGGTAATTTCCATAGAAAACCATGGGGTGATTTAGCACATGGATACCAAAGTGACACAAAAGCAGAGACATCCAGAATCATTAAGCCTGCGTGTGTCAAAGCTTCCCATAACTCTTCCAAGGTGCGTACAGCTCAGAAGAGAAACCAGGCATCGCTTCCAACCATGCCACAAACCCGGTGTGGAGGCTCCAGGCGTGGGAGATGGCCACTCACAGAAACCTGCCATGAAAGGCTCGCTGACCTTCCATTTCCATCACTTGCACAAGCCTCCTCCTCCCTGAGGGGCTGCTGCAGCAGCAGGATGGGCAGGCAGAGAAGGTGATGCTCTGGGGAGAGGGTGTGCCTGGGCTGCAGCCAGCCTGGCCAGGCAGCTCAGGAAGCAGCACTGACATCAGCTCCAGGAGCTGTCACTCCCAGAGCCGTCGCAGCTCCACGTGCCAGGAAAAACAGCCGGCAGCCGGGGGGGGGGGGGGGGGGGGGGGGGGTACATGGGAGATAGGACCCGGGGTAAAGGAAGCAAGGAGGGCCAAGGAACAGAAAAAGAAGGCAGCAGCTCAAAAATGGAATGGAACTGGGGCTAAGCCATGCGCAACCACAGTCCCCCAGGACCCTCTTCAGAGTCAGCCCTCACAGCAGCAGGTTCCCCACCAAAGGCAGGGCATAGAGAGCCTGTCTGGGCTAGAAGTGGGGATGTTTACTATCCTGCCATCTGCAGTTTGCCCAAAATAACAGTTATAGATATGAGATCAACTGAACACGTTTCTGTTATTGACACATACTGGATTTAGAGATTTATTTTTCATTTCCCACAAACTGTGCCAGAGGTTTTCGCATAAGCACAGAAAAAAATACTAATGTGAAGAAATGCCTGCAAGTGAGGAACATGAAGAGTTTATTCATTGCTCCTGTTAGAATGTGTTTGTGTGGCTAGCACTCCAAAAAAGCTGTGGCATATGTTTTCAGGATGGAAAAAAAAAAACCTCAGGATACCTACACACTACCAGAAAATGACAAAACCATATGCTGGAATACACAAGGTACACCCTGGCAAGAGCAAAGGAGCCTTGTCTTGCTTCTTTTTACCCTTACTAAAATAAATGTTCCTCCTTAATGAACCCTCCTGACATCCCTTTCTCTCTCCCCAGAAGTGGAATATGGACTTGATTTGTACAAGCACTGCTATTCCAGAAATGCATTTCATCCAAATGAAGAGAGCAGGAAAAAGGAAGCGAGAAATTTGTACTGTTTAGTAAACAGGCAGTTTCTAGGTGGATACAAGACACTGGTCTCAATTTACTGCACCCCTCCCTCCTCACTCCCCCCCTTCCTCTGAAATTTGCCTGGGTGGCAGAAGGAGGCAGCAAAAGGGAAGAGAACAGCTACCACTTGCAGTGGGAAAGGTTTGATCATTTTCCTCACATCTTAACACGACGACACCCTGCAAACAGGGAAGAGGGAGCAATATTTTTCAGTAAATTCACTGCGTGCCAATACTTCCTTTCAGGAGAAACACTGTATCTCCTCACCTCTGGTATTCTTGTCTCCCTAGGAGGTTAAAGGAAAGAGGAGAGGAGGAGCCTAGCTGACTGTCTCCTTCTTGCAGCAGTGTTCTCCAAGCAGAAGCCAGGTGACGAAATACACTCTCAAGGAACTGCTAAAAATCTCTCCATCACCTACAAATGATTCCTCAAAAGGAAACAGTCCTGGATGCCAGGGTAAGAACAATTCTCAAGAACATTTTTTCCCATCCATACTTGGTGAGAAGAGTGCTGCTTTTTCTGCACTACCCCAAGCCTCCTGAGTATAATCAGGATTTGGCACCACAATAGCCAAACATCACACTGTGCTTTAAAAGGGCTGATTTTAAACCATTTGGGACAGGCCAGAATGTAATGATCACACTGACAGTATCTTCAACAGATATTACATCCCCAGCAATGGCTGATGATTGCCTCTTTCAGTTTAACTTGCTGATCTGGCACAACACATACCTTACAGTACCGAGGGGATGCTCTCCTTCGTGTGAGGTGGTGCTGCTGTTGTAATCAGTGGAGGTGATTGCAACATTTTAAACAAACATCTCCTGTTATCCCAACAGTTTTGCACGCTAGGATGGTTGTATTATTATTATTATTATTATTATTATTATTATTATTATTATTGGCTGTCCTCTCCTGTTCTAGGATGCCAGCATGCAAAGTAAGTTCTTGTGGTTATAAAGAAGCCTTTCAAAGAGTGGGAATAAGCTGATATGGCCATACCACAGGTACATGGACAGTGAGAAGCTCCACATCTTAGAGGCTCCATATTCATCCTAATGAGCTACTAACTTGGCTTAGTAGCTTAGTGGTAACTAGTAAGTAACAATTCCAAATGTTGGCTGTGTTAACTATTTCACTGTAGATCAAACCAGGTGGGAACGGCAAGAGATGATAAAAAATTTTCAGTGTCTTCTCTAATATTTATTTTGCAACTGGAGTTTGGGAAAGCAGCACCACTTGGACTCTGACTCAATCTGCTTCCCAAAGCCTGAACCCAAAGGGAAAAGCAGAGCAAAGGAGGGTATCCAACTCTGAGGGAGCTAGAAGGCATGCCAGAAAATATATTTATATTTACTACATTAAGTGCACAAACTACTCTGCTGCAACTGAAAGAATCTGCAGCTTGTTTTATCACTGCTAACATCTTGAAGGACCACTGGGCATAAGAATTAAATACTAACATAAGAATTAAAAACTAACTTGCCTAACTTGGAAACCTCCATGGTTCTTTCTTAAGAAAAAAATAAGGATTATTCTAAAACCTGGCAGGCAGAGAACTGTTGTTTTCCTCTTTTTGTGAGAATGTTTACATTTGATCTGCATGTTTCCCCATTTCAACCCAGAAAAGCAGTGGGCTTCAAGAAATAACAATGAACATAAAAATATTCATGCTTTCTCTTTAGCCATCCCTCATGGGAACATTTTTTTTTTTCATTAATACCATAGCTGAATCAAGGTCTCTGTTGAGTGACTGTATTTCCCTTAGAAAGGTATGCTCCTACAGTTCCCATGAACACAAACTTCTGAGAGGAGCCTTTGTACTGGAAATACTCAAACTAATATACAGAACTGACCATCAGGAGTTTGGAATACCAGAAATAACTACAGAAATAACTACCTTTGCATTCCTCTAATTTGAAAGTGGCCAAATAACTTCAACCATTGTGCAAGTATGCATAAAATTCCTGAATCCAACCTGTAGATCCATGGACTGTTAGCCATTGTATTTTTCATTCTTGTTAGGCTACACAGTCACATGGCCTTTCAATGCAGGCTCACATATTTAACTAAGAAGCAATAGCAGTATGACAAATAACTGCAGCAGTCCAAGGAAAAGAAACACACCATCCTTCCTTAGATAATACTAGTCTTCCCCTAAACCCATTAAAAGAAAAAAAAATAGGAGGGAGAGAAATTTAAGTCTTGTGCATCACAGGGAAGAGACCAAACACTACAAGGCAGATACTACCTCCCAAAAAACACAACTGGAAGTATTTGTTATCACTGCTAGGAACTCACAACATTCACTTTGTTCTTCTTCAGGGAATTCTGGATTATCCTTTAGCATGAAGATTTTTCAGAAGCTGCTGGATTGTTCACAGGTCCTCACTGTCTTTCCTTTTTCAAATAAAGTAAGGTAGACCTGTAAAACAAAAACAATACCAAGTCAGAAAGGAAAGCAAGGAAAAAAAAGAGGAAAATCCATAGAGCTGTTTAACAAATGAACAATTGACTCCTACATCTCCTTGAAGCAAATGTATTTTTAATGAGCTCCCAAGATGGAAATTCTGCAACAGAGTGAGTGTCTAGGATAAGAAGAGTCATTTGCCCTGTACATATTATCACAAAAAATTAAAAGCCAGTTCAGAATTGCTGAAGCAAATATACAATTAAAATAATTCTTGGATACTTCTGTTGTTGTAAAGAGAAAAAGAAAAAACTACTTGGAGTTGCTGTTTAGAAAAGTGTCTGCAAACAAAGTTCACAATGTGCAGAGCAATCCACACAGGAAGATTTTTGTTCTCAATTAACTCCTCCAAGAAAATGCAAACATCTATCTATTTCCATGATTATCTGCAATATTAGAACAGAGGAGTACTGAATCCAAAAATACACACACACATGTTCTTTCTGTTCCTCAGTAGGAAGTATTTTTCATATTTGAGATTTTAATATTGTGTGATTCTTTCATTAATTTTTTTGGACAAAATTTAATTGTGGACCAACTCTTAATTTATTTTTTTTTTTATGTACTACACATGGTGTCAGACTATCCTCAGCCTTTTTATTGGGATCAGAAGAAACTGCTGGGTTTCATTTTTATGTGAACCCCACACAGAATACTTAAAATTGAGTGTATATTTCCACACGCCCCATATTGAACTTTTTTCCTTGAGCTAGGTTCCCATGGTCTCCTTGTGCTTCCCAAATTCTTAGTTTCACTTTGTCAACCAACATTTCCTACCTCCTTAATGCAAGGCTTCTCAAACATTTCACATGTCACTTCAGGGTTTGTGCGCATGGATCCCATCCTACCAGCCTTATGGAAGAATCCATGTCCTCAAATCAAAAACAAGTGCAGGACCAAACTCTACACCTTAGACAATGCAAACTCTCTTCTCTTGTTGGAGGAAATGAGGCAATCCAGAAAATTATTCATTTGACCTATCAAGCATCTGGTTTAGGACAGAATGATTCACTCTCTAGAAAGGTCTGGCTCTCTCCATAAAGTGAGTCTAGACACTGAGCTCAGATGAGATGGCTACATATGAATGCAGATGAATCTCACACTACGCGAAGGCAGGAAACAAGTCAGACAGATGGACAAGTGCAGTTCATGGGTGAAGAGCAGAGGGAAGACAGAGCAATGATAAAAAAGTTGCTATTCAAAAGACGTTTACACCTATGACTGTTTTAGTTGAACATGCAAAGAAACAACAACAAAACCTTCCAAAGCCCAAAGCAGTATCTGCCCAGCTGATCCAGTTTTGGTGGAAGACTGCTCCTGGATTTACTGGCTCAGGCTAAGCCTTCATGGAGCAGCATCTGTAAACAGCATGCAGCTGGTTGGGGGCCAGGTGCCTGCAATGATGATGACAGTGACCACTAGTCTCAAGGCACAGGCGCCTTTGACCTCTACCTGATGGACTGTAGCAATGCAAGATACCTGTTACAAAAATGTTCCCAGTTTAAGACACAGCAGTTTCTTTGGAGCTACAACTCCTGTATGAGGCACAGCTACCTCAAGAGCCTTTAGACACCCAGGCCCTGGTTATACTTCCAAGACTTTGGTCAGCAACTTCTCTCCTCTACTGAAGTGGGACTCCACTGCTTATCTGACAGAGAAACCCACCATCAGACATGGTCTCACAAGATTTTTAACTTTAGAAAGCAGGCCAAAGAGAGAAAAATATCACAGACCTATTAAAAAAACCAAAAACCAAAAAACCCTTGAAACTTTGCTTAAAACCAAACCAATTTATTTTCAAGCCATTTATTTTTTCTTTAAATTACAAGAATCTCCCAATTAAGAAACCCCATCTCAGCTCAAAATACTCAAACCATTTTGCTTCTAAGTGTTAAAATGAAAGATTTCAGCATTTGCAAATTATTTATGGGATTTTTCCCTCAATAATTTGGCAACCCTCAGAACTGCAATTTTTAATCCTTATCCCTTGTCACTTAGCATTCAGGGGAAAATCTTCAAATGCAGTCCAAATGACTATGAGAAAATATTTAGCTTTTCCAACAAAAATCAATGGCTTCCAATTACTTTTAGTAAGGGCACAGAGTTTACTCCTTGCAAACTCCTGCTTGGATAGACTCCTGAGAGCCTCCCTGGAGAGTCAGCTGTGTGTAACCCTGGGCTGGCACCCACCACACTCAGTGACTAAGTCCTTCCACTAACTTCAACAAGTGGGATTAGGATTTTGATTCTGTTCAAGTTAGCAAGGCTCTGACTGCCCAAACCAGGGCTTTGATCACTGAATCAGGAGCAAGGCTGCTTGCTAGTTATGCAGTGACCTTGCTGTCAGCCCAGCACAGGGACACAGGAACAGGCCACAAGCAGCACCAACACAGGGCAGTGGTGGTACTCTGGGGCAGATGCCTTCTCCCTGTGCTCACATTTCACAGAAAAGATGACATGAAGCAAGGTAGCTTACACCTCAGGCAAAAAAAGGGGCAAGAGACCTTGTATTTACCACAGGGTGCCTTTGTGCCATGTACACAGCCAGTTATTATGGAGCAGATTATGCACTATAAATTCACAAGCTAGTTTAATTTGCTGCAACTTGCTCACTTGACCTTACCCATAGGCACTTCACTCTGTGAGAGCCAAGTCATGCCTGCTTGCAAATGTTCCCAGGCACTTTTATGCTTAAGATTTAAAGATAACATAGCACAAAATTCAGGATGCATGGAGACATGCTGCTTCTTGAAGCACAACCCTCACCTGAAGAGCAGAGCACTCAGTCCCTAACTGGGACAATCTTTTTGCTATGCAGATCTGATGGGCTCTGATGACATGCTCTTTCTTCATGGAACATGGAAAACAGTCATAACTTGGAGGGACCAGCAGAGAAAGCTGGTTAACAGTACAATCAGATCTTAACCAGACTTTGTGACTGAAGTTTCCACAGGATAACAAATCATTATCATGGACACGGTTACCAATCACATCTCTGCTATAAATGGGAAGCGTTACCAAGGAAGCTGTTTTTGCATGGTCCCACAGCATTACGGTTACTCAAATATCACAGCAGAGCCCTGTCTTTGAGAGCTAAAAAGGACACTGTGCTGACAGATTAAAAGTGTAATTGAGACATGAACAGATCTCAAATCAAAGAATATGGAAGTACTTCTCAGGAGTATTTTGAGACTAAAATTGGACCCCAGGGCAATCAACAAATAAGGACTGTAGTACAAGCGAGCAACTGCAAATTGGCAAAACCTGAAAACCAGAAGTTGGCTACGTGCAATATCCTGTATTTATTCCAAGAAAAGGTCATGCTCTCCCATTTTGCTTTGAAGATCAGGCAGTGAGAGATTACTGCTTTACTAGTTCTTTCCTGCAGGTTTTTAATTGTCATCCCTTGCTCTCTTGCATGACATAATTTGGTTTCCCTAATTCACAAATCAGCATAAGCTAATAAAACTGTTTAAGAGACGGGAGCCTTGTGCCCAAGTTGTTTCGTTGTTCGCTATTATCCCTCAACTAATCCTTCAACTCAAATAAAACCATAATTCATTTCCTGCTTTATTCTCCCTCTACATGAAATAGTTTCAGACAGGTTCAATCCTGCCTCACCACAAATGGGAAAGGCAAGGTTTTATCTTCCTGGAGCGTGCATGATTTCAATTACCTAATGTATGTATCATCTATCATGTCAGGAAAGAACTTTGAAATTATTTTCAACAGGTTTTGCTGACTTTACACAATGAGAAAAGATTCTAATGGAAATAAATTTGAAAAAAAAATTTAAAAAGCATAAACCAACCAAGAATTTACTATATCTTAAATTTTAAGTTAATAAAAGCTTCTCTAAACCAGCCATTCCAAACTTTGCCCATCTAAGAATCTTCCGACATTTTGTCTAGTGTATAAAGGCTGCTGATGATGTTATGTTAGTGTAAAAATTACTAAAATCCCAATTATGTCTAAAATTAATGCTATGGTGAAGCAATATCACCTTAGGACAGAAGAGGTTTTGTTTGCATAAAACAGGCAGGCATCACTGATTTCTGTTTAGCATCCATTCCTCATCTGAAGCTTGATCCTCCAAGGCTTTGTCATGTAAACTAACATTTCCCATGGCTTTGCATGTGGTCCACAGTGAAATGCCCAGCTTCACAAGGTGTTACACCCACTTTGTGCAGGGTGAATAACTGTATCTGGGTGCACGGGAACAGTAAATCAAGTTGTTAGCACTTTGCATATCCTGCAGGTCCTAAACCAGAAAAACAGGATACAAGATCATGGGGCTCAGACAAGGAAGCAATCCATCCTGCCCCATAATTTCCAGCAGAGGGAAGAACTTCTATGTTGCCTTCCCCAGCTCTGTGAACATGGGACATCCCAGCCCAGCACATCTTTCCTGTGTGAAAAGCATCTCCAATGTGAGTACTTACTCAGAGGGAAAATGCAGGACAGGAACCTGTGAACAGCACAGAGATGGGAGCAGCACGTGGGGCTGAAAGGGCAAGGCTGCAGCTCCAGTGCAGGAGCCACTACTGAAGATGGCCACTGACTGTGCACAGCTAACGTCAGCTGTGAGTCATCAGTGTCCTGAGATTTAATCTAAAGACCATTGTTCATCATTGCTTCATCCACAGCAGGTATTTTTCAGGACTTAAGGCTCAGGTAAATCACATCTCATTTTACCATCAGCCCATGCAAACAGACTGAGAGCTTTTAGCAGTAATCACTGGACTCATCTGCCCTTCCAAACCTCTTCATCTGGAAACCATGGAAGTAACTTTGCTCTCAGAGCCATCTGCACTGCTCTTGTTACCCATTCCCTACCTCAATACCTTTGAACAAGTGATTGGAAAACAGATGAAGGTTCATCACTGCAATTGTACTTGGGAAGAAAGGCAGAACAGCTCAAATTCACAGTCTCCATTTACATGATGTCTAATAAC